AGAACCAGACCAAAATAAAGAGTCAACAAACCACCTGCTCAAATTTGGCTTCGATGAAGACGATGTGCTTAAGGCTCTTGGCACCTTAAACATGGAAAAGTCAACAGGACCAGATGAACTATACCCCAAAATCTTGAGACATATTGTATAATAAATCGCGGCCCCATTGACTGTGATATTTAATATGTCACTTTACCAAGGTGTGTTATCTATGGACTGGAAACACACAATCGTCACTCCCATACATTAAGAAGGACCAAGACAACTTCCATCGAACTAAAGACCTGTAAGCCTCACTAGTGTTGTAGTTAAGATATTGGAAAGAATAGTCAAACGGGCCATAATGGCATTCATAGAAACCAATAACTTGCTAAACATATTGTCTACATAGACTTCAGTAAGGCTTTTGACAAGGTGCCAACTAATAGACTGCTATTGAAGTTGGAAACCCTTAATATTGCCGGACCTCTTTTAAAATAGATTAGGGATTTCCTAGTAGGTCGTCGGCAGAAAGTAAGAATACATCCCAAGTGCTCCGTCTGGAGATCAGTACTAAGTGGGGTACCTCAAGGTTCCGTCCTAGGTCCTTTACTTTTTATAATGTATGTTAATGATCTTCCAAGTATAATACAGTCTCCAATGTTATCATACGCTGACGATGTAAAGATCTGGAGAGTAATAACTGGAGACACAAGCGTATATGTTCTTCAGGCAGACTAAAATAATATGATTAGCTGGTCTAAAGAGTGGTTGATGCCTATCAACGCAGGAAAGTGTGTCCTCATACACTTTGGGGACTCAAAGTTTAATAGGTACAACATAGGGGAAGTGGCATTACCCGTGGTCCGGTCTCATAAGGTTCTAGGGGTGACAGTGAGTCATGATCTTAAGACGAAGGCCCATTGCCGGGAGGTCGCAGCTAAGGGGTTTCGAACCCTCTGGGCTTTAAAAAGGACATTCACTAAGTTAGATACTACCATGTTCACCACAGTATGCACATCCTTGGTGAGAACCAAGCTAGAGAACAGCGTCCAGGCTGCAAGCCCCTGCTTAAAAAGTGACTCTGACATACTAGGAAAAGTTCAGAGGGCAGCTATCCGTGCAATTCCGGAACTCCGGGGTTTACCATACGAAAAACGGCTTGAAAAGCTGAACCTCTTTACTCTGTCCTATCGCAGATTAAGGGGAAATCTAATTTTGATGTACAGAATAGCGAGAAATGATTTTGGACCTAACTTATTCTCTCTTTTTCTTCCCACTAGATCAGGACATCTCAGAGGACATAGCAGGCTACTAGATAAGTCAAGAACGAAAAAATACCCGTTTTCACACCGAGTCATCAACACTTGAAACCTGCTGCCCGAATCAGTGGTGTCCGCACCTTCAATTCGGTCTTCAATAATAAGGATAGTAGGTTGGTGAACATGTATTAATCCTGACAGATTGATTTCCAGTGAAAGCCCAGTTTCTCCTTGAAAATATTCACTGATGGGGCTGATACCACTTGTTCGGGTAAGGCGTTTCAATCATTGACTACTCGATGAGAAAAACGGGACCCCACTTCAAGGTTAACATATCGCGGTTTATGGACGTTCTTCCTATGACCTCGGAGAGTATTAGTGCTAGAGGGAGAAAAAAGATGAGACATATTGACACCCAAATCATAAGTAAAGATACGAAATGCTAGTATAAGGTCACCACGTGTCCTACGATACGACAAGGGGAAAAGGTTTAGGCGTTTTAAACGCTCACCGTAAGGGAGTCTAGAAAGACCCTTCACTAATTTCGTTCCCATACACTGGACACACACAAGTGAGTTAGTATCCTTCACCAGACATGCGCTAGTTGCTTGGATATAGTACTTCAAATGTGGTCTTATGTAGGTGGGATATAAAATTCGAAACAACTCCTCGTCAAAAGATTTGAACGCTCGGCAAAGTGACCATAACGCACGAAAACCTTTGACAGCGGCTGCTTTGCAATGCGTAGTTGTTTTTAAATCATGACTTATTATTACTCCTAAGTCTTTATGCTCTTGAACGCATGGGAGAGGTTCACCATCAATAATACAATGGTAACCGTTGCCGTGACCGATGTGCATTAGCACACTCTTCCTAGAACTGATTTCTAAGCCTCAACCTCGAGCCCATCTAACTAAATCATCTAAGTCAGCTGGAAGATCCAGATAATCGGCCTCAATTTTTGTTGTTCTCCAGATTTTAGCGCCATCCGCAAACAATAATGTCGACAATGAAGTGCAGAGGGGCTAAGATGGTGCCTTGGAGTACACCACTTTTGACTCTTTCAAAAGAAGAATAGACACTCACAGAAGCATACTAGTAAAGGAATAACACAGGCCGTAAGCCTTCTGTCCTTACTACACAAATCTGAAATCTGATTCTGAATTTTGTTCACTTGTTGGATCCTCGGCACTTCGATCAAAGTAATGAAAGTGGACGACCTTGAGCAAGGGAATTTAGATGTGGCTAGTGATAGGAAGTATGTGGACGAATCAGTCCGATCTTGGTGTGTAGTGTGTTTGTATGTTCTTGTAGCAGGTTGAACTATCTGCTTCTAGTTTCAATCCAAAAATTGTTTTGATATGAGACTTGTGCTGTTTGTGATTCCCGAGCTCCGAAGTTTGGGGAAATTGTGTAATAGTTAGAAGTATTTAAATCATTATACGAACTACGAATTCCCGAAGTAGTGCAATTTACAGCGAAAAGAACTAGATAAACCCAAAGAAAAGTATTGCATTTAATGTTTGATATCAGGCAGTCACCAAGTACAAAAGAATCAGCAGTTCATACAAACACTACAGATTGTTGTCGATTGGTTTCATTAACGAAACTACACAATGCACTGTGTGTGCTTGTTGGGTCATCGATTCACCTATCATTTTGTCCATTTCCCAACCCTCATGCTACTTTGCATACTCCTTTAGTACACAACGTACCTCTTGGCTAGACGCGAACCTCTGCAATTCTGTTTTTGATGGAAACTTTATTATTTCATATGTAAAGGCCCGTTATTTACTTTAGAACAGTGTATCAGCTATGAATATAACAGTTTTCTTGCACAAGCCGCCTTAGTATTTTTCGTGCTTGCTGAAAGGCGGCTCGAGGTGAAGGATCTAGGTCGCTCATATTCTTTACTTCCACCCGATTCTCAGTCTTCAGTAATAAGGATAGGATGTCTGTCGACCTATATTAATCCTTGCAATTTGTAATACAGTGGAGGTTCAATCTCGTTTTCAATATATTAACAGATGGTGCTGATATTACGTGTTCCGGTAGAGAATTCCAGTAATTCACTAGTCGGTGCGAGAAACGGAACTCCAGACGTAAACGGTTTGATCTCGGTTTTTGAACTTTCTTCGAATGTCCTCTCAAATGATCGGTTCTAGACGGGAGCAAAAGATAAGACATGTTAATACCAAGGTCATCGTTCAGTATACGATATGCCAATATTAGATCACCCCTTATTCTACGGTAAGATAACGGAAATAAGTTAAGGTGTCTCAGTCTGTCTTCATAAGATAGGCCAGATAGACCGTGTACCATCTTAGTAGCTCGTCGTTGGACTCTTTCTAGCATATCTGCTTCATATTTGAAACAAGGACACGCTGCTTGAATCCCGTATTCTAAATGTGGTCGCACATAAATCGGGTATAGTAATCTAAACATTTCATCATCTAAATACTGGAAAGACCTACGAATTGACCATAATACCCTATAGCCTTTCGCAGCAGCAGCCTTACAGTGACTAGTCGTTTTGAGATCATTGCTTAATATGACTCCTAAATCTTTATAGTTTCTTACTTTTGGTAGCACGAATCCACGTAGTGTATAGTCATACGATTCATCAGAGTTATTTAACTGCATCACTACACTCTTATTAGGATTTACTTCTAGTGACCACCTATCTAACCATGCCACCAATGAGCTAAGATCGTCCTGTAATACTATCCTATCCGACATACTATGTATGGGTCTCCAAATCTTTATGTCATCAGCGAAGAGTAGAACGGATGATTTTGCTACAGTTGGCAATTCATTTACATAAAGTAAAAAGAGAAGAGGACCCAGTTGGAAAGTTATACAATTGTAGTTTATGAACACTTTTAACATAAATTAGGAACCGATATAAATGTGAGATGTTAGTGTACTAGCTGTAATACAATAATGCTTCTTGACCATTATGAGGAAATGAATTCCACGCCAAAAATCTGTGTGGTTCGTTTGTTTTTTAGTTCTGGCACTTCTCACGCTCTCCACTTCTAGGTTCTGTCACGTGTCACTTTTCACATTATGCCAGTACATAGCATGCCTTCAGACTAGACACAAACGCTTCATTTGTCTAATGCTATTGGACGCCTTTTCTTAGGTGCTTAAGGATCTTCCATACGTTGGATCAACGTATAACCGATCTCTCTTTATTGCGACCTGGGTTTATGAAACAAGAAAGAATGTATTCTGAAGAATAATCCTCTTTCAGGACTCTTAAGAAGGGAAAATCCACCTGACTTCAAGAACAAGACTAAGTAAACTCAGTGACCCAGATTGTGAGAGAAAACTATTAGTATACTAACCCATCGGTAGTTTAAAACTATCAGTCACAGCTTGTGATACCGAACAACTATGAGTCTATCGGTGGTTGAAAATGTCACGAGTTGAGTTATCAACTTCATTAAAACGTCTCCCTAAATTAAGTTTTGCTAAGATTAGAAAACCATCAAGTATCAAAGGTGCTAAGCAACAACTAAAAATCCCATTATATTTGGAGTTACGATGTTACTTAAATGTTATTGTTATTAGTAGATATTTTATAAGTAAGAGGGATGGTAATCTTGTGACCGGATTTAAATTAGGGTGGGGCTAGTAGTGATTTTCGTTATTTTGAAGCTGAAACCTCTATGCGATATATTTTCTCGCTAAAGAGCTGTTTTGCTATTTGTTGTAGTTACCACATATTTCTATGCATTTGAAAATTGAAGTGAAATGGAGATATCTATGTTCGATCCTTGTTTTGGAATTAATTTTAAGGTCGAAGAACCAGTAGAGTTAGATGATCTAGTTATAAGGTCGTCACACGAATTAGTCTCAAAATATGTAAATGTTGTTCCTGAAAGATGTATAAAAGGTAGGTAACCATTATTATTATCATTATATTTGTGAGATTCATATTTGTCCATCGTCACTCGTTACTAGGAACTAACATGTAAGAACTTGTTTGTAGGAACTATACCAATGTTCGGTTCTTAATTAATTTTAATTATTGTTACATGAAACGTTACTTGTATGCTCTTCAAACGCAGCCACGTACTTCCGTGTCGTTTCGTGCATGTTCACGACCACATTCATCTATAACTATACGTAACAGCACCGCACTCTGACCCCCCCACTGTCCATGAAGTAATTCATCTAGGTCACTCACGACAAAACACTGATGACCTCGCCTGTATTTTACAATTTCATTGATTTCGAGATAACCATTAAAACATACTCACTTCTCGTTAAGTACTCAACAGAAATTGGTGCTCACTAACAGACTAGGGAAACACGATGTTAGTTGTAAGCTACTCAACGATCAGTAATTGTTAATATGTTTTAAGTGATATCGTATAAGGTCTTCAGCTGTTGATACTTTCGTGCTCTAAGCTAATATTCAATACTTTGAACGAGAATAATTTTATTTTGTTCTACCCTGCTCTTTAATCAGAGTGAGAAGTCCAGTTCTTAGTGAAAAAGCTTTGTTGATATAAAACTAGGAAGAACTAACTTACATTTAAGTTAATGCAGTTATAAATTTATAGAATTTTATCAACTGAGTAATTTTCACTGAATAAGGAATCACAATGAAATGATAAATACAAGGGGAAATGCACTGGAAATCAAACAAGTGCTGTGTTTGAAGAGATTACGAGTTCACCTAATCGAAGAACGGAACGAAGACTGTGACACAATGACAGGTAACCTAGCTATTCCGATGCATCCAAGCACAGCCAACTAGAGAGAGAAGTCCAAATTTGGAAGAGTGAAACATATTTTGACTTTTCATTCTGAAACAGTACTGCTCAACGAATCGAATGCGGCCATAATTTCAAGAAACACTACGATTGTTGGCCTTTGACAAGTATGACGGTGTTCTAACATTTGGCGGAGGGTGAAGATATGATCAATACATCCTCGATCAGAACAAAAAACCAGCCATCTCTTTGCGAGTCAATCTTTCTCGGGTTTTGAACAACCTACGAAGTATGACAGAAGCCAATAGCCTGGACGCTATCGGAAGTAGACTTATCCTCCGATAGTTGTTGCAGGAACGACGTGAACCCTTTTTAAAAATAGGGACAACTATCGAATCATTTCATGACGTTGGTTTACTCTGTAGTTCCCAGACCTTTTTAAAATATTTAGATTCTTCACTTATATCACGAACGATTGACTCTTAATTTGTCCTGTCAGCAGATTTACACTGGTTTTAATTTTTACAACTGTTTTGATGACTTAACTCATGAGTAAATATACAAACCGAATCTCATTGTGTTCTGTTTTTACTAATCTCTTTGTCGCTATGTATGTAAATTTTACATGTAGCGTAATTATGATTGACACTAAACATCAAACATTTGTGCGTATTTGTTTTCATTTTCATGACATGTTTGTTATATAAATCTAGCAACATGTTTATTAACTATTTAGTTACGTAACCACAGTCTTTCGTGATTTCCGTAGATGAATGTGATTCCGACAAAGTTCCTGGTGTTGACGATCTCGTTAAAGATAGAGCTGTGGTTTTGATCAGGACAAATCAGAACCCTATCCGACGAAATTCTGCAAAGGGTAGGTGCCTTACGTTATTCTAATATATTGAGATTGCAAATCAAACTCGCATACATCTTAAATCTTTTCCCCACCTATTCGACATGGTTTATTTGTCGTTATCTACAAATCTGAAGGTAGGCATATATCTGAAGAAGTGTTTGTTCGATTAGTTGTATTATGTGGCGTGTTTAACGGTACAGTTTTATTGCTACTTCTGTTAAGATTTCAAAGAAGTATGATATTTCCATTTCGTGGACGGAATTTTCATTTTCGACATCCCATCTTACTAATGATTTATTGTGTCCATCTTCTTTGAAGACCTTTTTTTGAAAAAAGTCCTTAGATTTGATTTTATTGGTCACCATATTCGCTGACAAATAGAGCCATTATTGAAGGATCAAAAATTATTTATGTCTTATTTAATACACATTATTCTTGCTTCAGTAGTATCGAATCGTCTCCATCCACTCAACATAGATTAGATAACGATGTACTAAACTTGTATAAATGAGAGTAAAAATCTTTTTGCGTAAACTATCGTAGTAGAATGATGTTAACCGAAGCACTCTGTGAAAAACTTAAGGATCGAATATATTATTTTCACCATTATCTCAATTTGTGAAGAACTATTGACAAGCAGATAGGAATATATATGTTCCGGATTAATTTGAGACCTTTGATCATTGAGGACTCATAGCTCTATACAGATTGAACATAAGTGATGCATGAATGTATCACAGTGAACACAGTACTTTCAAACCATTGAGTTGGCGTCCATTTCTCCTTATTTTCAGCTTCGAATAATCTACGGTTACAAGTGTAAATATAATTCAATTTTCATTGTGTATGTCAAGAAATACTATTAATAAATATTTAACAGTCAGATTTAGTTGTTGTTGGTTGCTTGTATCTTCCCATCGTTGTGTAGGGCTGCAATTGATCAGTCTCTTGTTGGCATATGTGCATCCTGTGCAGGTTGCCTCGATATTGCCTTAAGTCATAAGCTTTATGAGCAATGATCGATGGTAGTTAGCAGTGGAATCCAGGACGCGCATTTCGTATGTCCAACCACCGACTGCCCCGACCTACGATGTTTTATAGTGAAGGAGTAGATTGGAATTAAGCTAGGGGCGGCCAGACCAAAAAATGGCACAAATCCCTGATTATGATCCGCGAGACGATAGCCGCCGATCATTAGAGACCCTAAATGACATGGCTCGAACTCGTCTGCAATGGTGCAGGTGCATCCACTCTTTGTATCCTCCCAACTTCTGATTTGAGTTCTTCGTGTCCCTTTTTTTCCTTTTCCAAACTTATTTCACTAGATTATACTTCTTGAATAACATCTTCGAACCCTAATCTTTCCGATTACTGCTTATACTTTTACTATCTCTACCACTACGGGGTTTGAATCGACAATTGTGTCTCTGTGGTAATGTGGTATGGCAACTCGAACTAATGTGCGTACGTACGAAGTTCTACGTTGTCACTAACTGACTGATTTTGTCCTATTTCAGTTTCGTCAGCTGGATGTACCTGCGTCCCAGAGTCATACAGTGATAATTTATTACCATCCACTAGTATATTTACAGATTTTGTTTAAAAAATTGTTGTACTTTTTTTAATAACATAAGTTTTATTAATTCGTATGATTTTTTTAATTAGATGTAAAATTTACCTGTGATCTATGTAACAAAGAATTTGCTTTTAAAGTACGCTTAAATGAACATAATAAGAGTATTCATGAAGGTTAGTCTATTATTGTGCTTCAAATTTTTATGTATGTATTTTGTTGAACTTATGATGATGATTCACGTATAATTTTTCTGTAGCTTCCTCATATGTAGATATGAATTTTCTAGTACGGAAACTGCTTGAGTCGGTTTAGTCACCTAGATAGAATCTCAGCCTACACAGAAATATTATGATGAATACTTAAAACATTGATTATGATTAAGAATATTCTTTTCAGGTCTTGAAGTTATAGAATTTTGAATAATATTTTGCTGTTTTATGTGAATAAACTGTTACTGAAATATATTTGTTGTGACTTTATGTCCGGCTTTTTATCACGTGACTTATCCACTAATCAAAATAAGACTTCTACAATCTTAGCACTGTGCCAAACCAATGACGTTGGACCAGTATGAGCAGCCTAGCGTCCTTACTGGTGCTATGTCCACCTAGCCCATCCACTTGAGTCCAGAATTCCAATACCAGCTTCCACTATGTGAATCATACATTTCAAACATAGTGTTTATATATGAAACAAATAGACGCAACGCTCCATAAAATAAGAAATAACATTTGTACATTTGTATTTTAATGAAAATTTCTAGTGTTGGTCTTCAGTGTTTTCTACAAGTAGAATGTGCGTTGTAGCTCTTATTATCCTGTTGGAGTACTTAAATTTCAATTGCTGTGATTGTTTTCACTCTTCATACCATAATTATAGTTCAAGGTCTTCTATGGGAATGATTGTTGTTTTTTTCTTGTGCTTTTCTCTTTTGAAATGGTTATGTATATCTAGGATGATTTGTATACTTCCAACCTTTAGTACATAACCACATTTATTCATTTTTAATTTGTTTCATAAACATTTATCAGTATTCATACTTGGTTTTTTCATTAGGAATAAAGTATCCATGTGATCAATGTAGTAAAGCGTTTTCGTCCAAATCTATGTTAAATATCCACGTGAAAGCTATTCATAAAGGTATGTTTCCGTTCTGAATGAGATGTTCTACTGTGAAACTGGTACGCCTCATACATTCTCATCAGAAAAATTATTTCGTGTATGCTTTTCATTTGAATTGTTTTAACATGTTTCTTCGATTTCTAATGTTTCAATCAGTTAATAGTCAGTTTTAATACTCTGCTTGGAATGTATTACTTATATACATGGGCTTTAGTTGTCACGCCCCATTTAGCATTGCACGACAAGACTATCTAGACCAATTTTAATGTAATGGTAGTAGTCAAAATGATAAATAATAGTTGAAAAGGTTTAGGTATGGAATAAAAAAGTATTTAAAGACTTCAGGACTTTAGAATCTAAGATTAAGGAGAAATGTAAAAACACTTGAGCCACTATGATCGATTCTAATCCATGTCTACGCAACCACTGGTTTCGGTAATCGTTCATACCACGAGCAAATAGTCTACATCTACGTACATGGCTGAACCCATTTGGTAATGACCTCATGGGCTGATTAGTTTACGTTTGTCATGCCATATCTTTCAGCCTACTTTTACACCGTGCAACATTGTCCATCGAAGTAGGGCTTTCGAGCATACATAATACATGTCTCAACCACCTGAGTTAATGGAAACTAATTACCCTGAATATTGATATCGAATTTGTATAAGTATATATTTTGTTAATTATTGTTTTTTTTCTCTCATTAGGAATAAAACTCACTTGTAAGCAATGTGATAGAAAGTTTAATTGTAAATCCAACCTAAACTTACATGTAAAGTCTGCTCATGAAGGTAATTTCTATTGGTTGGTTATAATTATATTCTATCATGAAATCGTATTTTACGCACAGTTTCATCAAATATTGATTATACACATCACATTGAAATCACTCTTCATGTTTCTTGGACTTTTAATTATTTAGCAACTCATATTGATAATATTCCACTGAAAACTCTGTTTCACGAAAGATAAATTGGTGTTATAGTAGGTTAAAAAACACGAATTTCAATTAATAAATCGTAGATCGTAATCCTCTCTCACCTTTCATTTGGTCACATATTGTGAAGCTTGCACTCTTAGGAATCACTTATTTTTTAGTTGGATTATCATTTTAAATAGTTAAACATATTTCACCAAATCTCAGCTTTTTTGGTTCTTATAGGCATATTTTTCCAATGTGATGAATGTGATAAGAAGTTCACTGCGAAATGTCCACTAAATAGACACATACAATCAATTCATCGAGGTATAGTCCTTTTTACAATTACACAATTACATTTACGTGTATTTTGTGGATTTTAATATACTTATACACCCTGTTCACTAATCCCATTTTTATTTCACTCTGTTTTTTCCTATTGACGTTTTCTTGCTATAAGAAAAGTACGAGTAATTAAGTTTTCGAAAGGTATGAACTACATGATTATAAGATAATGGGAGATGAGCTTGTTGAATAAGGAGGGATTGTTTTGAAATTTGTTAGAATGTATTGATAAATCAAGGTATTCATATTTTTAATAGTATATTAACATTATTGGTTTGTGGCTAGTGATATTAGTCGATCGTATAAATTGAAGTATATTGTTTCCTTTGTAAGGATTCTTAAAGTTTGTAATCCAAAGTGTCTAATCGATGATGGATTATAATGGTTTTATGATTCAGTTTACTATGGAAACGAGTGATTGAGTAAAGTCGTATTCCACTGATTCTTCTGTTGCTTTTTAATAATAGATCTAAGTTACTTTTTAATTACAAATGATTGAGGTTCCTTTAATGCGACAAGTTTCCATGGAGCAGTTCAGTAATGCGGTAGCTGACACACAACACTTCAATAATAGTCGGTAAAACCGAAGGAACGAAAGGATAAGATTAGATTCATGAAAGTTATATACATCAATCATGTTTCCAATTTACTTTTCAGATTAAGATTTATTTTTTTATTTTGAAGTGAAAAGTGATTATCCATAAATGGTGTTGTCACATGTCAGTTTGTTTGTTTATTTAACCTCTCATGGTATTGAATCTCAACTTGAATTCTGCACAACAAACCGATGGTTTGAAATATTGATTTCTAGTTGGTCCACTCCATATCATATGCGTTGAACAAAATGTGGTTCTTGGAACTGATTACGTAAACATTTACTTTTTCACTGAGTTACACTATTGATTTGCATAATATGGTTATGTCTTTGAAAATTAATGAAACATCTGTTATATTATGATAATCTGAGCACCGTACATTTTCCATCTGAACTGATGTGTTGGTCTGTTGACTAACCCTCTCAGGAAACTTTTGCATCATTATTTACTTTAATATGTCTATACTGCCTATGGTATTGTCTCATTAGATAAAAAGGCTTCCAAAAGCTAATATCTGAAAGTAATTATTAGTTACCCTCTTTATGTATCTTTTCATTTGGCTCTCTGATTGACCGAAACTAATTTATTTTAACCTATGTTTACCTCGCCTTGCTCGCTTCAATAGATGTATGCGTTGTAGAATTCGTAGTCGGTTATACACTTTACATGACAAACACACTATCTATTCATTATCTTATCGTTTGAGCGGAGTAAGACAGTGTTAAATATTATGATACAGTTTATCAGTCCCACAGAGAACAATTTAAACAAGTCCAACTAGCAGGCTTATATGATAAGGTTTGATCTAATATATCTAAACACATTTGACATCCTACCAATCTCAATCCTTAGTTATTTCATCTTAGATCCATTAGTCACTGATGTTGACTATGCAGCTGGCTTTCTATTGCTTATCTCATTTTTCTTATGTAACGGATGATCTCTTTCACATAGTCATTATGGTCTGATCTATATACGCAAGTTTATTTTACTATGATTCGTAATTGAAGTGAATTGATCTATTATCCTACCAGACTTCTTATTTCCTTTTAGGAGTGAGGTTTACTTGTGGACAATGTGACAAAAACTTTACAAAACAGAGTACATTAAATGATCATGTTAAAGTTGTCCATGAAGGTATGATTAAAGAAAATATCAAATATGATTTATTATTTTGACTATTTAAAAAATATTTTCAGTATGCAGATTAGTGGTGATTATAGTATTTTCACAATTGAATCCACAAGTCGATCTAAGCTAGACCATCATTAAAAACCTCAAAGTACTGGATGGCTGATCCGTCCTATTATGGAACTCCTCAACAGTGTACATTCATGATGCCACACGTTGGACTCAAACTCAGAACCTTCGCTTTAGCACTCAAACGCTTGACTTCTAGACTACTGAGAAAACGTAACCAGTGGAGACAGTTATCCACTTCAGACAATGGATGAAGGGTTGAGCAAAATTATGAATTTATTGGAATTAGACATTAACGCTGTTGGATGCTAGCTCAGGGTCCTAGAGGTTAAGCGTTTGCACTGGAGACTGAAGGTCTTGAGTGCGGGGTGGTGGGTGCGCACTCCTGTAGACTCTCATACTAGAATGAAACGACCGTCCAGTGCTTCGGGGTTTTCAATGATGATCTAGCGTAGATCGATTCGTGAATTCAATTGTAAAAAATGTTTGTTTATACATATTGAATGATAAAATATTTTCACTATTAAACTAATTCAAATAGTAATTATCATGTAAAATTCATTTAAGATTCCACTATCTTTTTACATAGAATATGTTAACTGTTTATTTTATTTATTTCAACACATAGATATTCGTACAAAGAGGCACCAAATACATATGTGCCACACAAATCTCATTCGATATGTGTGAGGGCTGTGATACTGCCCGTGTGCCCAGACCGGAGCAAGTGGTTTTCTTAGGGGGCCACATCCCGAGCCTTTGAACTGAAGGTCTGATCCACAAGGCATTGGAGCATCGTAGGGAGATGCAGTCCCATGAAAGCCGGTGACCAACAATTGGTTCATACACCATTTGTTCCCGCAGGATACTGGAGCCCATGTGCACCATTGGTTTGGAATCCGGTTAAAGCGCCGGACATTCGCTTTTCGTCCTCTCATTTTCGTAAACAACAGTAATGCCACGAGAAGGCAGTGAGTAGGACTTCCCTGTCAGAGGCTATATACGCGTCGCCATGTGAGAGCATTTCGAGAGGGAGAGCGGACTCTCCCCACTCTCGGCCTTACCAGGGCATTTGGTCTTTCAATTAATGTACATATGAATATTTGAATGTTTCACTAAGAATTGTTTTGAGTCTACTTTTGGACGAATGACAACTGTTTGATTTATGAGGGTAAATACTGACCACGTCTGATTCAATACCCTTTAGTTTTTCATCAGTAAATTATTCCTTTTATTTTCCAGTTCAATAGATTGTTGTAAAGATTAATTAAATATAACAAAGACAGTTTTCTTCATTATTGTTATATCCCGATAAGAATACTGAATGGTAACTTTTGGGATCCATTTATGGACCAATACTATGCGTATATTTTTATCGTATGATTGTTAAATAACTAAACTATTCATATTCATTTCCCTCTTATTATGATCTTTACTTTGACTTATGAACTATTATTATACGATCTACCATTCTTGAATTATGCCCTGTCTATTAATCACTCACTACCTCCCACATTCACAGCCATATTTGGCTAAATCTTGTACAAATGTTATTTCCTATGTTATGGTACGATGTTGTCTGTCTGGTTGGCATTATAAATCCAGTATGTTTGAAATAAATGATTGATATTGCAGAGGCTGAGAATGGTGTTCTGGACTTAGCTGGCTGGACTAGACAGGAAGCAGGACCGATAAGTACTCTACACTGCTCGCACCGGTTTTAGGCGTCATTGACCTGATCGATAATTCACTGTTCTCTAATTGATGGTATTATCACGCTATACATTAAAAGGACATATAGGCCACAAGTTATAACAATTAAGAGTTGAAATCTTTTGAATAACTTTTGAAATAAAAAATTAAGGAGACATTAGATAATGGTTTTTCGCCGATTCGTCTGAGATTTAAATCATTGCTCTTGTATTGATGTTATCTGGTCGTTATAAAATTTAGGAGATTGTTTCTTCTATTGACAATTACATATTTTATTTTATAACCGGAAAGCATAATCCATAGCTCAATGTCTTTATTTCATCTACGATTAAATTAAGTGTCTGAAGTCGATCTATGTATGGCGATGTTGTAGTCAGGTGTTTTTCGTTTATCTTTCCATCTTATTTTATTAAATGTTAATGTTGGTTTCCTATTATATGATGAAAGGAATTCAGTAGATGCATTATTCCTATTTTTGTTATCATTATCATTACTGTTACTGCTAAAAGCATTACTTTTCTATCTGATTCGTGTTGATCTTTCAGTTTGTCGAACAATCTTCACATTCCTTATTTTAGGATTTAAATTTTCCTGTCAGTTTTGTGAGAAATCATTTTCAACAAAGAAGTATTTTAGAAAACACGTGAAAACTAAACATGAGAGTGAGCGTTATTTCCAGTTCATTTATATTTATTTAGTATTTATCAAGTAAACTGAAACGCACATAGTTCTGAATTATACAGACTTTCTATTTTGATTCAATTTCCAATGCATTGTAGCAAACATTTATTATCTTCACTGAGGATACGATGCCTCACTAGTCACAATTTCTTATTGGAAGTTTAGTAGAGCAATTACTCGCAAGGAATTTACAAGTATGCTCCAAATCAGTGACGTATTTGATGATTGTAGGGATTTATTTAACTTGATTTCCACAGTTTGTTTAGGAAACCGCCTCGAAATAAACTGTGGGCAATCCAGTTATAGCTCACCTTTTAACACTATGAATGAGAAAGACGATCGTACTTCAGTACTCTTTTTCTACTTTTTTTCGATTGGGGTCATAAACCGCTTGATATTAGACTACTGTTGGAAACCTGGAAGCACTGGACGGCCGTTTCGTCTTATTGTGGGACTTCTCAGCAGTATGCATCCAGGGTCCCGCTCGCGGGATTTGAACCTAGGGCCTTAAGTCTCGCGCCCGAACGCTTAACCTACTAGACCACTGAGCTGGCATCCAACAGTGTTAGTGTCTAACATCAACCAATCCACGAAATTGCGCGACCATCTCCTATTGTGCTGAGGTAGATACCTATCTCTACCTGACACGGATTAGCTCTACCGGTCACGGCTTCTCACTAGAACTCTGAGAATTTTCTCACGAAGCCAGTCACTAGTGAGCACATGTTAATTATCTAAATATTCATCTTTAATGTATTCTGTTTCACTATTGTTGAATTTTTAGACACAATAGTTGTCGTAGTCGGTGTATCCATTTGTTTCGTTGTTTTAGTATTTTAATTTCTGTGTTAATATGACTGTTATTTTAGTGTTTCAATGATAAGTCTTATATGTTTAATGGTTTTCTGGAGCATTAATTTGTCACTCGACCCACTGAATACATTTCGAAATCACTTTGACCGAAATACTGATTTGGACGAATAATTTTATGATTTATGGACGATTTTTAGATCCATCTTACTGAGGAAAATGTAAACGGAATATTTTTCTTATGTACAACCTGTAGTGTTGGTGTCATTAAAACGTATGGTAGGAAATTATGTCAAAGCGTTGAGTCACTGTGATATATATATATATCTGCTTTTTAATTAGTATGCCCTACTTTAGTTACATAATGCATACTGATTATATAGGGAAATTCTTTGTGTGGAAATCTGCACTGAAATTAATCTTATTATTGATCGAGATTTATTTAATTGTATATTTAGGTTTGTGATAATCAAGTCTTTTTTTACCATATTCCAAATGTAATGATCAAAAATTACTACTGATATATGAAGCTTTGAATTTTACCAACTTCATTACTACTATTTGAAAGTGAGAATGAATTATTTGATCTAGAACAACAATGAAAGCTTCACAATTAGACTGTCAAGCTGAGAGGACGCAATACTACGAAAAGCATCTATTTGATGAGCTATAAATCATTTGAATCATTTTAAGTTTATTATCATTATTATCATCATCATTTATTGTTTGTTACCTTACTACTCTGAAATCAAATGCTGTTTAATAAACGAATTAGTTGTTTTAATAAATATATACTAAACTAACTGATATATTGGAATTGATAACATGCACATAGGATTTATCCCCAAATCTCCAATCAAATAGATATTTTGTTTAATATTTATTTTTTTATATATTTAACATCATTGTACAAATGAAGTCATTGTTTAAAACAATTAGATCTTTTAATAAATTTTAATTATGCGATGTGATCTGTTTGAAAAATATCTGCCGAGTCTTTATCGACGTTCAAATTTTCTGTTATATAAAACACTACCAGCCATAGATACAAGAGCTAGTGTGGTGTCCGCTATCTGACTCCATGATGAATAATGTTCACTGAATGCCATAACAATCTAACGTTTCATTCTACACATTATACTAAGGTTAATCCCGTTCGGGCAACAACGTTGCCATAAAACCAAACACGAAGTTGTGTGAGTGTATTTCAGTCAGACAGCAAGACCGAAAGCGCAGCATAGAAAGGTATTGTGCCAACTCCATTTAATTTAAATGTGATGCAAATTTATGAGCATGAAAGAAACATATATGCATATACTTAAGATTATACACGCATGCTCATGGCCGCACGTATATATGACTAAATAAAAGGTTGTAATGATTTATCCGTCGAAAGAAGGGTTAATCGTATAGGCGTATGACAACGCTAGTTATTATAGTATTGACGTGAACGGCAGAAAACAGTCAAGGAGTTGTGTTTTTCCACGAATAGTAAGCTCTTCCAAAGGTGGGTGGAGAAGTTGCGGCATCCCCAGTTAAATGGTTAAGAGCTAACGGATGACCTTGTTGTAGAATTACAATTTCATAAATAAAGTAGTTATTTAGCTCCTTATTTTGGGTATGGCGGACATGGCAACAACCATCTAATACTGTTCTGATCAACTAAATAACTAGGGAAATATTGGTCCAATAACATCAAATTACATTGCAGAGCTATCAGGAAGGGCTTAAATGAAATCTGTACAAGATAAACAGCATGATGATGTGTAGTACTTTGACCAGCCAACGCCGGGGCATCATAGTTCAGTTACTGACCTTTACCTTTGGATAAACCCTGTCGCCTCATCCTAGGTCTGTGCAATGGCTAAAGCTAATGGTCTCCTATCAATGTGATCTTCATGTATATTGATAGGGTAGTTAACGAATTGTCTCACGTAGAGTTTATGGAGAATCTCTTGATGAAGCGGAATTAAATTTTAAAAATGATGGCGAAATGGTTATGTAGAAAAATGATATGAGAAGTAAGATCAATAACATAAATCATAAGATGATGGGTTTGCGTGAGGTCTACGGGTGTTATATGTAAAACGATGAGTCCAGAAAATGTAACGTTAAGTGAATAGTCTGAACACACGTTTAAGTTATGAATTTACAGGACAAATCTATTGCAGACTGAATAAATAGGCAGCAGCGGACGGGATTGCACAAAAGGGTGAATAATAATGGCGTGTTTTGAGAGTGGTAACCAATGGAGCAAGTGCATCTATGCTAGGAAGTAAAGATTGTTTTGAGCAAACTGTCAGACAACGGGTTGGGAACAAGATAAAATGTGAATAAAGAGATGCGAAATCTAAATACTACCTAAAATAAGTTGTGGGTTGTCTACGTTAACCATCTAGCAAGTGTCAATACGACACTGCGATTAAAATGATGAAGGGCAAGAACTGATGAGCGTTATTGCTCGTCGTGTAGTTAGACGCTTCGATAGTTTTAACAGTCCTGAACTCAGGTTAAAACCTTGTGTGAATGCTTATGGTAGCCAACTCTGGTCTATAATTACAGGTTCGTTATCGTGGGCTAGCATTGATAAGAGTCAGAAAAATGAAGTACAATACGGATGGTTCAGAAGAAATGGCGATTTGACAGATAAAAATGTTGTTTCCCCAGTTTCTAAGGTAGATTCACTCACTTCAATAATGTAGACCCTAACCTAAAAGATAACTGTCTTTTAGTCCATAACTATGTAGTAGTAAAAAGTAGTCTTTAAAGAGGTCGGGCTAGAGATTAGCCAGCCTCATAAATGGCTGTCAGAAATCAAGCAGACGCATTTTAACAAACTTTAGAACGAAGGTCGGAGCGCTGTGTTATCTGAGTCATGACCCGAAGATCTGACATCTGGAACTACAGTTGGTTGAACTTAAAACAGGGGTAGATACCGTTATGTCACTGTTAAGGATATTGAGATGAGCATAAACTAAAATTACAGAATTCGGTGGGGATCCACTTGGGTTTTGAATGTTCATGGAAGGACTTAGTGTAAACATTGAGGACTGAGTTAATGATAAGACCTACCTCTACATGTACTTGTTACAACGTTGTGAAGTTATAGTAAGGATGATACAGAATATTGCATTCCATTTGAGAATAAGAACGTTACACTAGGGTAATCAGCGCTTTACTCAAGTAATTTGGTTGACTTGTTGACATTGCAGTGGCATTTCTAATGTAGTTGTTAAACAGTCTTTCTTTTCATCAGAGTGACGCAGCAGGTTTGCAGAAGCTCATATGAAAAAATTACCAACTATAAGACAGCTTTGTAACAAATGAAGGTAATTCAGACTTTAAATGTTCTAAAATAAAAGTAGTGGTGATGAGACTTTCACACAGGGTACATTTCAAATGGGCAGAAGCGATAGACGACATTCTGAAAAAAAGTTAGAGACCATATTTCGTTAATTGTTAGAGTTTCTGGAAAAGATTGCGTCACTTGCTACAAATACATATGGAGAGATCGCGCGCGGAATCTACAAGGCCCAGGCAATGCCACCGAATAGCCAACCAGCTTCTAGTCAACATATTTATATTCTCTGACAGCTAATAAATACTAACTGGAAAAGCGATTAAATTACCTATCTAAAAGATTATTGATAGGCGAACATCATCTCAAGCTGTAAATTATTATATTAGTTGATCATGAGTGTAAGGTGTATTTATCCCGATTGGTGCAAGCTGTCGAGAGAGAAAGGCATTTTGTTCCACATCATCCTGTGTTGAATCATAAAAAGCCAGGAAAAGTTCGAATAGTGTTCAGCTGTGCTGCCTAATCATGTATCTCTGAATGATTGAATACACTTAAGACCAGATTTAGTAGAAGTATTCCTTAGACTCAGAAAACTTAAGATTAGGCAATCAGCAGACAGAGAGGAAATGTCCTTTCAAGAACATTATTATTATTATTATCTGCCTGACGAGGATGAAGAAGGTTTTGACTTCTTGTGGTTCTCAGAAATAATCTTGACTCAATTCCTGATAACCATAGTTTGAAAGTACTTTTCCTTGTGGCTACGTATTGACTGTCTTGTGCCGTTTATGATTTTAGACGTACGACCATCGGTCACTATGATTTATTCGACAAGAATACGAGCTACTCTTCGACGAAAGTTCCACGTGTGCTATTGTCTTGTTTCTGTAGAAATAGTCTCTGAGGTCCACGAGCT